GGAACTGCTGTGCTCTGCAGTGCCCAGTTAGTATAAAACTGAAATGTGACTTTCAATGATCAAACCATATGCTTGAAGCACTCCAACAACACTTTAAAGTTTTCATTTACGACAACAAAATATTAGATAAGGTGAAGAGAAAATAACGCCTTACTAAGTCACCCTTTTCTCCTCCATCCCCTTCTGCTCCAGGTGCACCCTATATCAAAAAAAAGACAATACTGTCAGCCTTCAGATTTAGGCAACGTAATGTACTGCAGCATTTGGTAGTGTGACTTGAAAGTACCATGATCTCTAACATGACTTACTTGTTCACCCTTAGGTCCTGGTTCACCCACTGAACCCTAAAAGTTTAAAGAGAAAAATAAATAAATAAATAAATAAATTTCAGAATTTGAAACTGCAGGTTCAAAAGCATACTAAATTATCTTCAATCCTCCCTACCATCTAGCATGAATGCAAAAGACCTTCAAAGCTGCAAATTTTTAAGAATGACAATGAAAACACTCAAATCTTACTATATAATTAAGGTGCCAGACTGAAGGCAAGCAACAGCATGGAACATATAATCCACTGCCACACTGGATGGTACAGATTCTGACTGTGAAAGAGTAGTTCTCCTCTTTAGGTGGCAGATGCTCTTGCAGCTGCTACCACTCTGCTCTGCAAATTGGTTAGAAGTTATCAGTGAAAAATCCAGTAAGTGTATCACTTTTTCTAGCCCTATTAAGTATTCTGTATTGCTGTAGGTCATACCAGCCCTGCTAACGTGCGATAAGCACACTGACACATCCACAAGTTCAGTCACAATCTTGTCTTGCTTGCTGTTTAATTCTCAACGTTTCTTAGCAGAGCTGTCTCTAGAATTTTGATCATTACAGTCAAAGCTGAATGGCTTGTATCTTAAAGTCAATATTCCTTTTTTTTTTAAAATAATATTAATTATGTTTCATCTTAGAATACTGTAACCAAACATACAAGTGTGGATAGGCAGGAACCAAAAAGAGGAATAAATTAATGACCTGATTCATTTCAAACATATGTAATTTGTTTCTATAGTAAAAGTATTTCATCTGTAGAACAGTGTATTATTTAAGAAAACATTAGTATTTGTGTTTTGTTAGAAAAGCAATCACACCATCCTTAAATGTTGCAGTCTGTGCACATTCAAACATATACATTCCAAAAGAACTATAACTGTGCATATTTTTTTTTTCTAAAACAGACGGAGATACAGCGTTTTGTCTCCCATTTCAGAAATCCATTTAATTCATATCAGATATAGGCACACAAACCAGTGTAACATCTACAATTTAATGAGTTCAGATTTGTTCTCATGTTCCTGAGGACGAAGAGCCAATACTAAATTATCACAAAGCTAAGCAGTGTAAATCACAGACCTATTTAACATTCCAACTTTTTCAAACAACACTAAAACTATTTTGTCTGAAGTGTTCTCAAAATCGTGCCTTATTAAGGTTTTCCAAATTACTCACAAAAAAAGACATTGATTTCCAACCTAACATCATTTTGGGGGTTCTTTTTCTCCACTTACTCTTCTTTAGAGCAACAAAACTGCCAATAGATAAAGTTGAGGTGGAAGAAGCTTTTGCTTTTATGAAACTTGGCCTGTAATATTTATATCAGCAAAGATAAAAATCACAGCTGAAACTATCTGCATCTATTCTACATTGACTCTCAAAACTTCAATGGAGACAATAGGGTAAGATGTCAAAATATGAAAATATCCACTCTTTTAACATACTGCTTACCTATTTGTAAACATCCCTCTCAAACCATGCCCAGGAATTGTTTGCGAAACTGCCAGTAAGCATCAGCCAAAACTGTACTAGGGGCTACACTAACTATTTAACAATAAAAAGGATCATGTTCCAGTGCCAAGGTCTGGGTCTTGGCCTGGTGCTGTTTAATTTACTAACATAGACAGAACCAGAGTGGCTGAGGCCAATTCAAAATGTGTGAACCAGAAACAGTATAAGTAGTGAACACTGCATAACTACTCTGTAAGATTCACTGAAGCATGATCCATCATTGGAACACTGTTTTGTATTGCTATCTCTGCTATAATATGTCAGGTGTGTGACAGATGCACTCGACTCCTTGACCTTACTAGTGGCAGTCTGGTTCAGGCTCCAAAAGAAATAAAGGCCCAGGCCATAACCAGGCCAAGAACTTTTCGAGTTCCAATCTGTTCTCTGAAAACCCACACAGGAAGAGGGTGACATGGTGAGCATTGATGCATATGGGCTTGGAAACTGCAACACCGACCATGCAATTAACACATGAATAGCAGGTGCTTCTTCCAAGACTCATTTGTCAAGGAACAAAGTAAGTTGTGGGTACAAGGAGTCTCATGCTTACCTTTTCCATTGCACATAATTTGACTACAAGCCAACCACTTTATTCCATAAATAGGACAGCCTCGCGCATATATAATCCTTTAGACATAAACCGTTGACCAAGTCTGGGACTAGGATTGGTTCCAGCTGCATCTAGACTCCTCTCCGAGAAGGAGTTTAGAAAGCAAGGGGGTCCTTTCTGAACCTCATGACTCAACGGGAGGGTCTCCCAGACAGTTTTGTCTGACCCTGTCCTCTATGCAGTAGGTAATCAAGTGTACCTTGCCATTGACTCTTGTTAGACAACTGTTGCATTTACCGTTGAACTTTGTTAACTCACTGATTTCTATCAATAAAGTGTATTGTTGCTTCTGCCTTGCGAGTGAAGTGCAGTCTCGCTCCATCTGTGACAAATTGGGGTAGTCAGCAGGATGGCAAGTAGTATCACTGATTACTTACAGAAGCACAGAATAAGTCTGAGTCCCAAATTCTCAGAAGAATGGACTCGCAAACATTGGCATGACTGGGGTGCCATTGAAGGACAACTAAAATTAGCAAAAGGAAATGCTAAAGACAGTAAAGGGAATTATTTGTAATATATTAGGCACCTGCCTAGAAGTTGCCTGCCAGTATAGGAAATAGAGAGAAATGAGATCTAAGAGATGAAATAGAAGGCAGGAAGACAGCTGAGTTGTTACTGCCCTTACAGATTGAGCAGCTAGAGAAGCAGCTACAGTAAGAAAAGGAGAAAAAACAAAAGTTGGAAGAAAAGGTTGAGATGATGCTCATGTGGGTGCCACATCCCCCTGACCCCATGCAAATTAGGAAGCTAATAGTGTCCCCAGAGGATTGGGATGGTGATATTTGGGGTGAACTTTATGAGTACAATGAGGAAAACAATGCTCCTCTGTGTCCTGGTTTCGGCAGGGATAGAGTTAATTTCCTTCCTAGTAGCTGATACTGTGCTGTGTTTTGGATTTGGGATGAGAACATCCAATTTACAATTGGACTTCCTCTCAGAACTGCCCAAATATAAGGCTAGACCCATCACTAAAACAGAACACTCTGAAGAACTTCGGGGTGGTGCTCCGCAATATACTATACAAACCACTCCCTGGGATCCATTGCAATTGGCAAACTTACAAGAGAAATACAGCAGAAAGCCAGGTGAAACTGAAATTGAATATTCATGGTGCATCTGCCTGAGCGGCGGCAACCAAGTAATGTTAAGTGGAGATGAAGCAAACGGTTATTGGGATCTGGGAGTTTTCTTAAACCTAGAACCCGAGCCAGTGACTGAATCCCATTCTATCACCCGTAGGGTGGCTTATTGGGCTGGGGGAATAGGTGCCTTGGAGTAAGGTGAATCTTCTATAACTCCCATCCATTCCCTAAGCATGTCCTCCACTGCTGTCACAAAAGCCACCTGCATACAAGCTATGTACACACAGGGAGAACCTGGTGATACCCTGGATATCCGCCACGGTAGATTATGCAATATTAAAGCCACTAAATGAAGGAGGCACTTACATTTTGATTCCAGTTGGTCCTTGACAACAACTGGTGAAATTCCTGATAGATACAGGAGCACAAATTTCAATACGAACACAACAGGATGCCAAGAAATGGGGTGTGTGACCCAGACAGCAAAGAGTTAAAGTCACCAGGGTAAACAAAGCAAGTGTTACATGCCAAACCACGAAAATTAATTTATGGCTCCAGGCGAGAAGTGCATGTGGTCTACTTGCTTTGCGGTTAAAAAGCACAATGAAAATATTTTGGGTTTTGATGTTTTGACTAGACGAAACTGGCGCTTGCCAGACAGCAGCATGTAGTGCTTCAGTTCAAGTACCAATCCCAACCCCAGTAGAAATTGGGAAGCTACAGTACACATACACTGTGTAGCCCCTGCACTCCCTGATTTGAAAATCACCAGGGTATCACAGAATCCGATTTCTGCTGTGGCAGAAAATGGAATTTCTGGCATAATAGCAGTCTTGGAAAAACGGCACACTATTTCCAGAACCCACTCTCCATACAATTCACTAAACTGGCCAGTCCGAAAGCCGGATGGGACATGGCACCTGACAATAGATTATTGGCACCAAAATGCCAACACAGCTCCGCTAACGGCTGCAGTACACAGTATTGCAACTTTAACACCCACGCTACAAGCAGCCGCACACCCACGGATGGTGGTACAAGATGTGAAAGATATGTTCTTTATGGTCCCCTTGCAGGAAGAAGATAAAGAGAAATTTGCTTTTACTTGGGAAGGTATAAAATATATCTTTAACAGATTCCCACAGGGCTATAAACATTCACCTACGATTGCTCATGCTGCACTTGCTGAACTTTTACAGACAGTCTCACTTCCTCAGGATGTGAAACTGTACCAATATATAGGTGACATTCTGATTGGAGAGACTTCCCCTGAAAGAGAGGGGGAAGCAGCAGCAGCAGCGTGGCAAGCACCATACAAAGCAGAAGTTGAGGTTCCACCTGAAAAATGTCAAAGACCAAGCAGAGAAGTAAAATTTTTATGTACCTGGTGGATTGCAGATAGTGCAGCAATTCCACCGGACACCCTAAGTAAAATGGAACAATTGCAGAAGCCCCAATCTAAGAAAGAAATACAACAGCTTACAGGTACTTTAGGGTACCAGAGGAAACATGTACCTGGATTTTCTATCATTGCTCACCTACTGTACTCATTTTTATGAAAAGGAAAACCATGGAGATGGAAGCCAGAACATGAAGAGGCAGTCAAAACCCTAATACGGGAATTAAAGACTGGGCCCAGTACATCCCCATGACCGTATTATAGCAGAATGGGGTTTTGCAGAACATGGCACTTATTGAAATCTATTCCAAACTGGCTGAACAGGCCAAAAAGGCCTTTAATGTTTAGCTCAAATGCATTTAAAGAGACAGAACAGACATATTCCCAGTGGGAAAAGGGACCTTTGTCTTTAGTCCAAACA